AGACACTGTCTTTTTTTGGTGCTGTGGTCACCATATTGAAACAAATTGGTCAACCTTTCAGAAGATCTGACTGGGGAAATCTGGCATGCAGGCTGTTAAATAGAGCAAGGTTCAAATCTCAGACACTTCTTACTCTCATAAAGCTGGCTAGTTAGACTGAGCTTCTTTCATTTACACTGCTTAGTATTTCCTACTTTTTAGACATCTCTGTGCATACCTATGCTCTTTGAATTGTTGCAACACTTAATGTGGAGCTCTATCTAAAACTTTCTAGATTTAAAATAGAGCTCTAATGTGCTATCTTCTCTATTGTTCACTGCTTCTATCCAAAAGCCTACTACTTTTATACATTTTATTAAACAGACTTAAATATACCCATTTTATCTGACCTATTTATTATATCTTTATTCCCAATTCAGGTGTATACTGTTAAAAATTGAACGTCATTAAAGACTTGTCAATGGAGTTTTCTGTAAAAACAAAAGGCTTACTTCATTAAGCCTTAGGATTAGGCTTAATGAAGTAGTCTTCTGTGGTGCTCTCCCTAGAACAACAGTGAACATGGAACTCTCTTGGGTCTTCCTCAGCTCAGTGAGAAGACACAAACTTTTGCTAGCAGGCAGTAGCACCTTCACAGATGGCAATCTTCTGATGTTGCAGCTCTGCTGTCTGGTGCATTTAGTATATGCTGAGTGAAGTGCTTTTCTGCTAATTCAGCATCCGTTTGCTTGGGTTTAGAAGAGTACAGAGTATATGACTGACAAACATCATGGGTCATACTGGCTGTGACCTGTACTTTAGAGCTACTGATCCCTTTATTTTTTAAACTCTTCCACTTTTACTGACAGTTGTCAACAGAACAGCTTGAGTTTGTTAAAAGCAGGACATAGGAATTCATAGGAAGTCTCATAGGAGCTGACATCACTGTTTTCTGCACTGCATGTCATACGAGACTGACAACACCTTTTGTCCTTTCTGGCCCCTCAGCATTTATTGTTCTTCCTTTTTACATC